CAACCCGTGAGAAAAAGCCAAACCCACAAAAAGAGAAAAAAATTCTTATCTGGTAGCACAGTCGACAAGAAAATAACAATAAAAGAAAAGAAAAAAAAATACCGGGGAGAAGGAAGGCGGGTCCGAAACAATACCACAGTGCCGCCCCCCAACGCTCATCGTCCGCCACCCGCCTCCCAGCACTCAGATTTTCTCTTTCCTTTTAAGACTTGCCGGACTTGGCGAGTGACTCCTTGGTCGATTCGTAGAGTTTCATGACGAGGCCAATAGCAATAGTTTTTCCGTCCTCGCGCAGCATAAATCGTCCCATTTTGTCAAACTCCTTGTGAGGCGCTAATACCACAGAACGTTCCAGCTCCATACGTGCAATCACCACATCACCAGCCTTTGCGTGGGTAGGCTCCTTTTCCAGCAGCTCGCCGGTCTTTTTGTCAACCTTTGCCAGCAGCTTGTGGAAGGAGGCCTCCTCTTGGGCGGCATGCGCATGTAGCATGACACGTGAGCCGGCGCAAATGATATTCTTAACGTCTAGAATCACCACTCGCGCCTGAAAGTACTCCGTAGCACGAAGCGAGGTTGGGATGGACGTCGCCACATAGCCTGCGTGAATGTCGCCCTCGTCCAGGCCACGCATCCGCAGGTGTACGTTGTCGCCAGGATAACACTTCTCAAACTCTGTCGATTCAATGGAGATGCCCTCGACAAATGCCTCCAATTTGGTGGGGAGAATTTGAATTCTTTCGCCCACCGCGATGGAACCGGACTCGACCTTTCCATAAATGTATACACGTCCATCGTCTTTATAGGAACCGACTAAGGGGATGCAAAGCACATCATGCTCACTTTTCGTCTCTGGCAGCACGAGATTATCAATGAAGTCCATCATTGTAGGCCCCTTATACCATGGGCAGACGTCGTCTGCGGAGTGGTGGATAAGGTTTTCTCCCGAAAGGCCGGCGATAGGAATAAAGCAAAGATTCTTCCCCTTTTCCTCATCGTAGCCGTTTTGTCGAAGGAAGGGTTTCAGTTTTCCGACAATCTCGTCATAGCGACCCTTGTCCCAGCCGGACTCATCCATCTTGTTGATGACGCAGATCATCTGCTTCACACCACATGTGCGCACCAGCATCGCATGCTCCCGTGTCTGACCGCCCTTCTCAAATCCCGTCTCAAATTCACCCTTACGGCTGGAAATGACAAGCACGCAAATGTCCGCCTGGGTCGCTCCACCAATCATGGATGGAACAAAAGCCTTGTGGCCGGGGGCGTCGAGAATCGTCACACGACGTTTTTCTGTCTCAATGTAGGCAGCACCCGTCTCACGGGTGATACCTTTTGACCGCTCCTCCTCAGAGACATCCATAACGTAGGCGTACTCCCAACCCTCACGGTGGTATACCTCGGCTTCCCGGCGCAGCTTGTCCATCTCGCGCTGATCCACCAAACCCTTCTCCATTAGCAGATGGCCGGAGATGGTGGACTTGCCGGCGTCCACGTGCCCGCAGAATACAATGTTAAAGTGCGGACGTGGGTCGCGCACAAATTCCTTCTTGTTACTTTCACGCTGTTTTGCTATCTCCTTCTTCACGTATTCGCGAAGCTCCTCTGGAGTCATTTTAGAGGTCGAGGAGACGCCCTCCTTTTTATCGTCCGACGTTTTCGCCGCGGCAGAGGCTCCCTCCTTTCTCTCCTCATCAGCCTTGGCGTCCTCATTCTTCTGCTTAGCCTCCTCCGTCTTTTTCTTTCCAAGGGATAGCGTGCCAGCCTTCCCTTTTTTGGGCATTACCACAGGCTCCGTGGTGCAGCCGCCAAGCGAGAGTTTTCCCGAATCCAGTGCAGAGGCCTTTGGCTTTTCCTGTGGCCTCGGTGAAGCCGTGCTCGCAATATTATCCACGGGGGTAGGAGAGGCATTACCACCATAGTATTCACCTTGAGGCTGTTGCTGCTGCTGTGGAGGATAGTAGCCACCAGAGTAGCCGCCATAGCCTCCGCGTCGGGGCTGTTGTTGTCGCTGCTGCTGCTGCTGCTGCTGTGGAGGGCAAAAGCCACCAGCATAACCACCGTAGCCGCCTCCTTGGGGTTGTTGTTGCTGCTGCTGTGGGGGGTAGTAGCCACCAGCATAACCACCGTAGCCGCCTCCTTGGGGTTGTTGTTGCTGCTGCTGTGGGGGGTAGTAGCCACCAGAGTAGCCGCCATAGCCTCCGCGTTGGGGCTGTTGCTGCTGCTGCTGCTGCTGCTGTGGAGGGTAAAAGCTCTGTTGACCCTGTGGGTTGTAAGCATTCGCGTTGGGGTTAAACCCACCTGGTTGTGCCCAGCCAGACATTACCCTTCTTAATCTTCTGCAATGCGCTTGCTGAGGGGGGAGAGCAGAAAAAAAAAAGGACGCAGAATAAAAAATGAAAAGCCACAGTAAACAGAATGCATACACGTAGTAAAGGAAAAGAATAAGCGAAAGCGCAACTTCCATGCAGTGCAGCCGCAGCTCGAAGCAAACATTTATCTTTGTTATTGCTACTACCTAGTGTCGTTGCCAATTGTTTGGCTTTCACCCTTGCCATGGCATCTCCTTCGTTTTTGTTTTCGTCTTTTTTTTCGTTTTCTCTTCTTTCGG